TTCTCATTAAATTTGAGCTCTGGTAATATTCAGATTATCCCATAACATCATTATAATCCACCTTCTGACACATATTGCTTATCAATATCTGCTTTGTCCAGTGCTGATATTTCTTTGTCCTTTTTGCACCCTATCATCAGTCCCATTGTCTATAAAAACAGTCATGCCATTTGTGCCAACTAGAACGATCAGTATGAGTTAGGATCCCGCAAATTAAAACATGAGCTTTACTCCTGTAATGCTTGCGTATCTTGAATTTACTATACAACTAGATAGAAAATTAAAAGTAGCAAGTCTACGATTGTACTATAACCGGCTTTTGCCTGAGTTACGCATGAGGGAAGGGTATAAAGACATGCTTACATTTCTTAAATACATTTGTTGGCTTAAGTAATATGATTTTTTATGTTTTTGTGACCCTTGATGTGAAATTACTTTTCGTATTTATCTATATTTCTTACATTCTTGTTTTTTATCCTCATATTAAACTCTTATACTACCCTAAGGATCAAATTTTATCTTCTATAATTTTAGATTTGATTATCTTTAGTTTGCTCTTGAGTATCTCATGAAAGTCTATCGACGACTAAACGTTGTTTAGCAAGATATTATCTGTCCAATTATTATTTTTCTACTTTCAATTACGCTTCAATTAATCCACTTGTAGCCACATATTCTTAGGCGATATTGGGGGAGAAGAGAGCATAGAATGGTTTGAGTAGGTAAATGGGTGATCAGGTAGGATTTTAGGGAAAGAGATACAGCACTAGAGGCTAGGACAAAAAATAGGTTCGAATGGTGATTACACAACGGTTAAATATTTAATTGGTCAAGGGGATTACCTTCATTTGTTACTGATACGTTGTGACTGTGCTAGCGATGGCGACTACGATGTCTGTGAAACGTTTAGGAATGTACCAAGTCTGATGCTAGAAATCACGAATACTATGGCGGAGGACGCATTACTAGCTACGTTCCACAATGTCTCTCTGAAACTCCGACCAAGTTGCGAAAACGAGCTCAAATAAACACTATAAAGCTAAAGGAGACTGCGATCTAACAGGTCATGCCATCTTGGTCTTCACATTTATGATCTATTTCTCATGGTCGCCATGTCTTCTGTAGTATATATATTGTGGTCTCGCTTAGCAAAGCGCCTATGTCATGTTGCAAATAAAGATGGATAAAGATTCACAACAGTGCACATTCCCATCTAACTAACTCAAAAACGACCGGCATTAAGAAAAAGGAATATTCGATTGGCCACGAAGTTTATCGCATACCTTGCGCGTTTGCGAACAGAAGTCATTCGCTCGAATGTGATATTCAATGAAATTTTGGTAAAGAAACCATATGCCTCCTTTTCTCTTGGCTTAGCATATTTTTGCTCTATTTCGTTAAGTATGAATTCCTGCTCTAATGATGTCTGACACAGTATATACGAAAGCTTAACTCAGGAGCATTGTGGTCGCAGGACGGTAAGTCGAGGACTTTTCGCGCAATACATCAGTCTTCACTACGCGGCAATCCTTCGGTTTCCGGTGAAACCACTTCACGAATTCCCTTCAATCAACTTTTCCTTTGAAGTGGAAAGTCATATCACACTATGCCGAAATAATACTAAGTTTTCAGTCTCATCACAACTGCAAACTGAAGGTCGGAATATTAAGAAGAATGATTATCAGAATCCCACGACTCAGTTTTGGAATTCTTGTATGAAGAATTAGACAACTTGATTCGAATGTTCCTCGGCAACGGATACCTAA